TCTCAGGGATTTGGATTTAAAAAGAATTTTGAAATGTTTCCCACTAAAGATGCTCCTGGTTCATATAATTTTTCATATTGTAAAACAAATAGTCATGCTGCTTTGCATTTGACTAAATATATGTTACAACATTTGTAATCACTTCTCCTCACCTTCTATGAGAATTAACAATGCTGCTTATATCTACCTTTAACACAAGTGAGTAGCCCCAGGAAATACATTGATTTATATCCAATTACTTTCAGATAATATGGATTAAAAAAATTGTAATAAACTGAACTCCTCCCTTCAGTACAACTCACTCTAAAGTAGAACACATGACTTACATCATAAGTTAGCAATATCACATCCACCACTCAAGTAAACATTTAAAAAGGGTTAGCACATTTTATTTCTTGAATTTTATTTCCTGGGATACAGAATCCATATTATTTATTCTCCAGCCACACAAAACTTTTGGGTTTAAGAGAAAACTGCATAGGGTTTCAATCACAGAAATGTTTCTGCTGGCTACGAGAAGAAAAGAGGAAATAAGGATAAAATTACTTGAAAGGAGGCAATTGCACCAGTAGGCCTTGGAATCCAAAGCAGGCAAAGTCAAAAGTGAGAACTACAGCAGGGTGAGGAACATTACTATTGCTAACTGAATGTATAGAAAGTTCTAGTAATGTTAGAGAAAAGTCAGAGTCAGGGTGTTTGTTTGTTTACAGTTGTGGGAAGACTCTCCCACTCCTAAAGAAAAGAATGCACTCCCTTCATTCATTGTACAGCTCTTCACAGCCTCCTCGGCTCTTCCCTGAAAATAAAAGGGTAAAAATATGAAGTGACAACACGGAAGCCACCTCATGCTTTCACAGAAGATGGAGAACAGGACAATAGTGCTATCCTTTGAGGGGTTAGGAAACAGGAGAAATCAGGGAGATGAACATGTGTATGTAATTAAAGCAACAGTGACAGTAGGGGGTCATTTTCAATATCATTAACACTCACACCTTTTAAGACAAGAGCAATGTCTGAAATTTCAGCACTGATTGTGACCCAACTGGCTGCAAAGCCTCCTTTATGCTTAACATACTTTAAAAGATGACACATAAAAAGTAAGGCAAGCGATCAGCCTCCCCATACATCAATATTATATTATCCATGATTAATATTTATTAGATGCCACTGTATCTTTCATTTTAAATATAAACATATGGCCAGAAATCTCAAGGGTAAATACAATGCAGACCACTATTTATGAGATATTTTCCATTTTTGCTTATTTCCTGTCCTTTAAAGTTATCAGAACACTATCTCCAGTTAAGACACCACTGCAGTCTCTTGGACTTCCTAACCCAACTTCTGTCTGTAGTACTCAAGGTAATGGACTCTCCCCATAGAGCCTTGTTGTTAATGAAGGCAAAGATTGGTAAAATAAACAAATGTTTGTGATCCCCATTTTTCTCCAGAGCAAAAAAACATATCTGTGCATTACTTCAAATCAATTAAACTTTCCCCTTGTCAGAAAGAGTAGAAAAGGTCAAGCTCCTTTAAGTAAGGCTTAATTGACATCTGCTTGCAGAATTAAGGGGTTAGCATAGGTCAACATGAATTTCCTTAAATTGTGAGATGTGTACAAACGATATCAGATATTTTACTTGGCAAAACTACAATGACATTTCAATGAACTTCTGCTACAAACGGGGTGGGTAAGTGATTAAGCAGTATCATTGCGGTAGAGCTAAAACAGGCATTTTAAATCTCTGTGAAATGGCCAGAGGATTTGTAATACTTATTTTTAATAACCAGAGCCATATCAGGTGTTAATTTTATAAGATAAAGTTCAGATGGCAATACATTTTATAAAGATATAAGAAAACAATACTATATATCTTGCTTTGTGGTCTTTGGCTATGATCAAGATTTGATGTAGACAAGATTATACAAACATAAATCAGTTAAATTTAGATTCCCTGAAATGGAAAACAAAATCACTAATATAATCAGTAAAATTGTTCATTGCATTGGTTAGGAATATTGATGAAATGAATGTAAAATGTATTTTTAGATAATTAGTTATCTAGCCTAATTAATTAACTAATAAATGTTGTAATCATTAGATAGGGAAAGTTCTAATGGCTAAAACAATAGTCTTTGTAAATAAGTAACTTTAAAATCCCCCTTTCCCTCCCCCACCCCCTCCCCTACACAGACCTGAGCCCTCCTCAGGCTAGGCAAGTGCTCTACCATGAAGCTGTACGCCAAGCCCCTTGCTCTCTTATGCAGAAAGTGTTATCTGTACCCATGCAGGTGCCCTGATCATTAGCAGCCACTGTCATTCCCTGTAAAGGACCTGACAATTATAAAGCCCAGTAAGTTTAGATCCACTTGCAACACCTTTGTCAGTCCAATTCAAGGAGAGCTGGGGAGTTGGGGCCCCTGCTAATCACCTTGGGAAGCCAGCCTCCCTTTGGGCTCCTAGCTAACAGGAGGTGATCTGCAAGGGAAGGAGGTCAAGGCTTCTTTATTGCTCAGTGTATTGAGAATAAACTGAGACAGACATCTCACTAGAAAATATGATCAGGCTGAAAGTATGTAAGAAACCAAGGTCACCTGAGAAAGTGCCCTTTGGTATTTTTTTTCCTTAAAATTCATTCTATGAGAAATAGCTTGGCCTCCCAAGAATTCACAGTGCTTTCTGTCATAGTAGCATCAAAGGCACTGAGTAAGCATGAAAATAACTCCTCCCAAGTGCTGCATTTTTGCATCTTCTTCCTCCAAAACCCTTAGTTTCAGTATAATCATGGGAAATCACTCAGCAAACCCGAACTGAGGGACAATCTGCAAAATACCCTATTGTCAAAAGTGTACAGGTCATGATAAACCAGCAAAGCCCAGGAAAATGTCAGACTGCATAGACCAAAGAGACAGGATGACTAACTGCAGCATGGCGGTGTGAGTGGGACCCTGGCACAGCAAAGGGCATCTTTGGGAGAACTCATGAAATCCCAATGACACCTGGTGTTGAATTCTTTTTGACAAATGTACACATGGTCCTGAAAGATGTCAGCGTGGGAGGAAACTGAGAGGAGGCTCATGGGAGCTCTGTATGCTATATCTGCAACTTTTCTGTTAAGGTAAAATTATTCCAAAACAAAAAAACTTTATTTAAAAAATATAACTTATTATATATTCATTGATGTGCTGGTTTGTTCACTTTGCAGTACCCAGGTCCTCATGCACACTAGGAAAGGGTCTACCACCATGCTACACCCCTTAGCTCAGGAAATATACTGTAAACAAAGGTAAATATTTGACTGGTTGAATTTATTTTGTGAGCAAAGAGGAATCTGTCCTTGATAATAAGAAAGTAGCGAAGGGAAAGCTAAGTCTCACAGTACTGTGCAGGGCCATCTCCCTTGGGAAGGCCACAGCTGGGCTGACCCAATCGTGACCATTTGGGCCATGAGGATTATACCAGGAGTTCAGCCAGGAGTTGCAGAAACTTGATTTATCTGCCAGCCTAGGTGGTTATGCTGCATGGGTGGATGGCGCGCTGCCATGTCAAAGTAGCCTTTGGGAAAGTGGGGCAACCTCCTCTGCTCAGAGTTGAGAGTAGAAGGCTAAAATGTGGAGAATCACAAACATCGTAGCATCAAACCTCTTCCTTATGACAGGGTATTAAACAGCATAGCTGAGCTCTCTCAAGTGCTTGCCGGGTTACTGGGGACCATAAATACTTGCTGGGTGCTGCATGTTGCTAGTCCATTTTAACACAGTGCATACTTATGTTGATGACATAATAACACATAATAAACAGCCCACTGGGGAAAAGTGCAACTGGTTTGCTGATGTTGGCTTTAGGCTCTCAGAATGAGGAATGAGATGAGAGGTCTAGAATTTGCACACTGATGAGAACAGTTCCCAGGTAGCCTGGGCACACTTTTTTGGATGTACAGAAATGAACTGACATAGGATTTAGTATCATGCAATAAATATTTACAAATTAACTTACTATTTTTTCTGATTATAAACTAATAATGCTCTCTCTATAAAACACTGCTATTCTAAAAGGAGAAAGGAGGGGCTGGGGATTTAGCTCAGCGGCAAAAAAGCCTGCCTGGCAAGCGCAAGGTCGTGAGTTCGGTTCCTGGTACCGGAGAAAAAAAAACCAAAAAAAAATCTAAAAGGAGAAAGGAAAGATAATATTCATATTCATGATTCTACAGCATAGAGACAAATAATATTAAAATAATGATAAGCTACCTTTGAACAACATATCATTTTTTATATAACTAGAATCACGCTATGTACCAACTTGTTTGGTCAATAATTGTTTTTACTGTGCATATCTATTTCTTATTCAAACAATCTATTCACTAAATTTTTAAATAAGTAAGCAAAACATTTTAAATATGTGAACAGCCTGACACAGAATCTCCCTTTCTGAGCTTTTACTCTAGAGAAGAATTTAAACTATGTAGGTGAAGGTTTAATAAGCCTATAAATGACTGCCGTAGATGTGTTTGTCACTCATATGTATGATGAATGGTTTAATCACCATATGTGAGGTGTGCCCTCCTCAGATTTGCTGTGGTACAAGCACATTACTCACCTGATATAAAATATAATAAATAATGAAATAGTTACTATGTTAATAAATTCTCTGATTTCATCTTACTTTTAACTATCTTGTTTATACTGCAGTGCGGGGGAACAAATCCAGGGTTTCATGTTCTCTAAACAAATGATTTACTGCTGAATTATACCCCCAGCCCTATTTGCTGAGTTTAAAAGCAATTGATAATTATAGTATCAATGTAGCCTATGTCACAGGCCAGGTGGCATCCCAGGGCCTTATATCTATTAATTTGCTGAATTCTCACAACAATCCTGTGAGGTGATTCTAGTTGCATTTTTATTTTATTAAGGCAGAGAATGATACCCATAGCGGTTAAGTGTATGGTCAGGATGATATGTCTTGATATCTGAAAAATATGAAAAGCAGGTGAACTCACCTTTAAACTAGGCAATCGGGCTCCAGAACCTGCACATCTCCTTGTGATACTGCGTGTCCCACCTTAGTTGACATACAAAGCTTCACACTGTGGTTGCTCGTCTCCAAGGTGACGTTCACTCCCTGGAATCCATTCCTTTGTGTGGTCTCCTCCTTTGAGTCAGGATCAGAATACTGAGGAAGGGACAGCATGTAACAGCTGCAGCTAGGTGAGGAAAGACACGGCAGCTTCTCTTTTGGACTCCTGGACAGCACTTACCTTGGGGAAGTCAGCTGCCACATGGTCACTTCAGGAGGATTGTGGGGAGGTCCCAGCTTACCACTGCCACACAAGACTTCCTGAGAGTAGATCCTGCAGACCCAATTAAGCCTTCCAGGAACTCCAGCCCTGGTCATCACATCCAGAACCACGAAATTAAGCTGCCCTGAAGTCCTGACTGATGGGATTGTGTAGAGAGAAAAGACATACCTATATCTATGCTATCAGACAGAGGGAGAATTTGTCACTCTGCTCTAGTATGCATTTGGAACATTCTAAAAAACGCATATGATGGAGACTTGGCCCAGACTGGGGTGCCCCTGGGAGGAGATGGAGCCCGCCAGGAAGCGAGGCCCCTCAGGAGGCTGTTAGTCCCCGAGTGTGTCCCTCACAGTGGGCCACAGACCCTCGTCTTCCCTTTCTCTTTTCACATCCTGTCCCTGAGCAGAGCAGCTCTACTCTAGCACACAGTCCCTGCACTGATTCGCTCCTCACCTCAGACTCAGGAGAAATGGATTCATCCAAACAATGCTAAAGCTTAAAGCCAAAATGAATCCTTTCTCTTATAAGTTGATTTATCCCAAATATTTATTTATTACAGGACTAAGAAGCTAACTGATACACAGAGCAATTAGATAACAAATACAGAAATACTCAGAAAAACAAGAGGAAAAATGATCACTTCAAATTTCCCAATTCCAGGCTGGGAATGATAGTACACACCTGTAATCTCAAGAAGAGATTTTGGAAGCTGGTAACTTGGTAACAGACTGGTAACTTGGTGACTTGGCAAGGTCCTGTATTAAAAACTTATATATATTTTAAAAAGAATGTAGCTCAGTGTGAAGGCCCTGGATTCAATCCCTGATACTGGAATAAAACCCCACAATTTCAAAATAAATTCATTACAAATTCGATACAATCACTTCCTTTAAAGCTTAAATATACTCAAACTAAGTATCCATATTATTAAAAAAGTAAAAACAAGATACTTTTCCCACTTACTGTGTAAATCACTTCCAGATAAGTTATTTATACCTTTAGAAAACATTTTCTGAAATACAAATGTAATGGCTCCATAATATACCAAATGGATGACCCACAGTTGAGTCATACTTTTGGACATTTAAATTGTTTGTCTATTTCTGTTATTATGAAACATTACCACAGTAAATATATTTGTTTTGTTTTGTTTTGTTTTTAATTTTTTTTTATTTTGAATGAGACATCAGAGGCAACAGTTTGGAGCACAGGCTTTGACCTCACTGTGCAGACACAAATTCTCGTTTTGCCCCTCCCTAACTCTTCAACTTTTTTAGCAAGCTCCTGGTGTACCAGTCTTTTCTTTATCTATAAAACAAAGAATGCAGCGTTTTTACTGGCATATTTATTATTCTTTTTACTGTGGTAAAATGCACATAATGCAACATTTGCTATTTTAAATGTGTACTTCAGTGCCACTCACTGCATTCACATTGCTGTGTAAACAGCACCACCTTCTTCTCCAGAACTTTTTCATTACTTTCAACTAAAACTCTACCGAAAAGACAGCTCCCTATTCTCCGCTTCTACCACGCTCTTTGCAGCAGCAATTCTACTCTTTGTCTTTATGGATTTTACTGTTCTTAGGTACTTTTTTCTTTTTGTCTGGATTATTTGACATAGTGTAGTGTCAATCCTTTTTAAAGCTGAATAATGTGCCCTTCTATGTATCCTATTAATTCCCTCCTTCAACAGTAGAACAAGTTGTTTCCACATTTTGGCCAAAATGAATCATGCTACTATGGTCATCAGTGTGAAAATCTGCTTTCATCCCTACTTCGATTCTCCAATATATGAACTTAGACATGGACTTGTTGGGTGGCAGAGTATTTTTTGAGTTTAATTTTTTGAGGGACCACCACACCATCTTTCGTGGTGGCTGCACAACTTTACGGCAGTGGACAAGGATTCTAATTTCTCTTTATCTTCACTAACATTTGTTATTTACTTTTTGATAACACAGTCCTAGCTGGTAGAAAGCAGTATCTGGTTGTGGCTTTGATTGGCATTTCCCTAATGATTCACAGTGTTGAGCACCTTTTTCTATGCTCCTTCGTCATTTGTCTCCCTTCCTTGGGGATCCAGGTATTCAAGTCTCCTTTTGACCATCATCTCTATCCTGGAAGTATTATCTGCCTTTTTCTTCAACATCTTGTTTTTCTCCAGTTTTCTTTCCACTTCTTTGGCAATATCTTGTAAAGTACTTTTCTGGCTCATCCAACCTCTTTTCCCATTCACGTTCTTCATTTTCCTCATACTAATTTTGCACATGCCTCCTACTCAGGGACACTCGTGGCTGGTGTAAGGCTTAAGGAACTGCTTCTCAATTAAGAAATCAAATATTCAATTAACACATTATTTTAAAAATGAAACAAAGACATATGGCTACAATAACAAAGAAGTAGAAAAGGAAAAACTGAATAGAAAGAAATATTCTGATAATCAAAAGAAGTTATGACAGGAAAACCGAACTGAAGTGAAACCAAATGGGACTACTAGAAAAAATATTAAAGGATGTTAGATTTAACCCCCAAAATCTTACTAATTGCGTTAAATTTTAATGGACTAAATGCTTCAGATAAAAAGTCTATCTGGCTGTATGAAAAAGCAAGATCATACTTTATGCTATCTCTAAGAGACATTTAAAGTACAAAATGGCAAACTAAGGTAAAATTGTAGAAAAAGCTATACCATACAAACAACAATTACAGGAAACTGGAGTGGCGCACTGTTTCTGGGCTGTGGTGAGTCACAGCATCACTGTGGAAGGTGCCGTGGAGCTCAGCAGCCAGAAAGCAAGGACAGCAAGCCAGCAAGAAAGGGCAGGCAGGAAGGCTCGCTCCATTGGATCTGGTTCCGTCACAGCCCAGCCTATTGGGCGGTGCTGTCTGTATGCAAAGCAGGTCTCCTCTGCTCCTTTTGCTGTCCCACATGCAAATCACCTCTGGAGACTTCCTCACAGACACACCCAGAATTGAGGGGTGCTTATTGCCTAGGCTCTCTCAGTCCAATCAAACTTACTGCCAAGTCTAGCCATCACAGCTGGGAAGTGAAAGAAAAAAAAAAAAAGAAAGGCGCAGAGTCGCATAGTACACTTTGAGGCCCATTTCCAATGCTCTAAACACCTTCCTTGAGGTCCCACCTTGGGAAGCCTCCACTACCTCCCAAGAGAGCCTCCCTCCGGAGAAAGCATTTACCACATGGACCTTTGGGTACATCGAAGATCCAAGTGACAGCACCCTTAGAATATAAATACAAACATAAATCTTCATGACCTTGGAATGAGTAATCAGTATTTTAGATATGGCGTCAAAGCACAAATAACAATTGGTAAATTGTGATTCCTAAATTCTTATGTTGAAGCTTGTCCTCAATGTGGCAATATTTGAACGTGGAGCATTTGGAAGATAATTAGTTTTAAATAAGCCTATGCAGAGGGCTTATAATGAGATTAGTAAACATACAAGAATAGACACCAGCCGGTCTCCCCTCTACACTCACCATTACAATACAGTGGGAAGACAGCTGTGTGTAAGCCAGAGTTCTCACTTGTAACTGAATCAGCTGCTACTTCACTCTCAGACTCTGCAGCCTACAGAACTATGAAGAGCATATTCCTGTTGTCTAGAACACCTGGCCTGTGGCAGCCTGAACAGACTAATTTATTTGACATAATCAAATAATTATGAAAACATTTGTACTCCAACTAACACTACCAAAAACTAGGATGAAGTCTAAAGAGTGCTACAGAAGTCTGCACATCATGTGTTGCTAATACCTATGAAAAAATCTATTACTGTCTTTTAATAAAAAGGATACATATGGGCAATTTAAGGGCTAAGTGACACTCTATCTCAAAAATAAGAACTTGAAACAAAATAAAAAGGGCTTGAGATATAATTCTTTACGCAAATATTTATACAAATATTTCAGTTATTTGGTTTTACTTATTTTTGTTCCAGGGCTACATACTGTCCCAAGCACTGAAACAAAAAGAAATAATTTCAGGGGCTGAGCAGCACAGTGCCTGCCTGGCAAACATGACATTGTGAGTTCGATTCCTGGTACCAGAAAAAAAAAATCAAAAATAAATAATCTGAATAAATAAAATATGTTGATGCTAAACATGGTAGATTTAGGAAATAAAAAGTACTCATGTAACTTCAGAAGTAATTAATATAGTCTAATTTATAAATATTATTTAATGACCAGTACTGTTTCTTTTTCATTTAACTGTCATGCTATCTCCTTAATGACTTAGCACAAACTTTCTTTCTATAAATTCTTATTCCACTTCTAATGATGACATGGTGATAGGACGAGAATAGAGTGATAGAAGAGCCGGTTGTGATTGTAGTACTACCCACACTGAAGACATCACTTGTTTAGCAAGTTAGAATTTCCCAGAAATGTTTGCTTGTCTTGTAGGACACTCACAGACCAGGTTGCTCACAATCCGAGGTTTGACTAGAGTGCTCAGTCATTAAGGAGATAGCATGACAGTTAAATGAAAAGCAAACAGTATTAGTCATTAAATAAAGGAAAGTGAAAATATATTTTCATTGTTACTCTTACTAATTGATCTAGACATTTCTAAATATTTGTTCCAAAAGAGGTCAAAGTTATTACCATCCTTATTTAAATTCCTACAAATAATATCAATGTAAGAGCAGTTAGTAGATAGGTACTCAAACACACCCCTTTATAGATAGCTTAGACATTTTAAAAGAAAACCATAAATGTTAATAATAAGAAACTTCTGAGCTTCTTTAGGCATCTGTAGATAAGAAAATTATCAAAATATGGCCATTAAAATTATTCTTTTTCATTGAATTGACACAAAATTCCCACTGATGCTGAAACACCCACTATATGGTCGGAAATTTCCTCAAATTGCTAAATACTATAAGAGATGAATCATGATATGACAACTAATTTGTATTAAGAAGATCTTTAAAGAAAACAAGAAAATAGAGGTGCACATTCACATAGATTTCCATTTCTTCAGCCATGCAATTGCTTTAAAAGTAGCAATAACATTGTAAGTAGTTAAATATTCGATAAAATTGAACCCAGGAGCAATGCTGTAAGTTATGTTATCATGTGCTTTTGAATAAGCCGCTTCTGAAAGGTTCAGGACTATTTTAATTTCTCTCAAAATTACTGTAGAAAAAGTTTCTAATGCTTGAGAATGTAAGATGAGAACTATATGTATCTCATCAATATTACATTTCCATATTTTAATTGCTCTATGATTCCCTAGCTGTTTTACTTTTAGCATCAATAACAATATTTATTTTCTAATTAAATTCAGAATTTAGAAGACACTCAAACACAATAAGTGCAAGAATATAGCTCTTCAGGGTTTTGCAAATGTTCAAAATCTTTCCTTTTGCAGTCTTTTTTTTTTTTTTTTTTTGGTTTTTCTCCGGTACCAGAAACCGAACTCACGACCTTGCTCTTGCCAGGTAGGTGCTTTGCCGCTGAGCTAAATCCCCAGCCCCAAAATCTTTCCTTTTGTTAAACTTATCAGTCAGCATCTAGAACAAAATTTAAGAATCACACAACTGGAAAAAATTTGATCATTCCATGAAATGTTGGAAAATTGTTAACATTTTTGCAACATACATTAGGAGAACACAGGAAAATATGTTCTGCATTCATATTTTTCACCGTTGTTTCCAGATGTGTGACTGTACCTCACAGACTCGGGCTTGGAACAGTTTTTATAAGTGTCAGTCATTCTTGACAGTTCTCAGGAAGCTGAAGAAATTCAGAAGCAAAACTTTATTACTTAATAAATAGAACTGTAAGACAACTTCCAGCCACTAGCACGAAAAGGGCAATAGATAAGAACAAAGCCATGAAAATCAGGCCAGGAGGGCATCAGGAAGCATTATCACTTCCTTGTTTTCTCTTTTACTGGAGAACAGTATTTAGACTGTAAATGCACCGTAAGATTGAAGGCTCAGCCACAGTGGCGAATTAAAGTGGAACCTTCACGAACAGCTGGCATTTTTTTAAAAAGTAATAATTATGTGTATGTTTTTGTAAAATCTTCTTATGTCAGATTCTGTTGAACCAACTCATATGGTGGACTTTGCACCAACAGCGGTATAAAGGAGAATATTGAATCAAAGAAGCAGTTGAATATAAATAAGAGACTCTGAAGGCTCATGTCAAATAACTACATGGTAGACAACTCATTAGAAAAGAGACCTAGGGATATCTCATTGCCTTACAACATTCTTTTTATTACACTTTTTATCAGTTGATCCCCTTATTCATTTACCTATTCCTCAAGTGTTTTTATCTTACATATCCAGTTAGGTGGGAAAATGCATTCCCTTCCTAATTAGTTTATTTAAAACACAAATCAATGGAATGAGCAGAAAGATATTTATATTTCAACTGTTACTCTCATTGCTTAATGTCCATAGCCATGGAAACTCTGATAGTAATAATCAGTGTTGAGCATCTTTCATATTCAATGAGCACATCTATATGCATGCTTAGATTAGACAGTATTTTATGGAACTGTTCTTTAATTCCAGTCTTTGTTCCCAAATTTTTCCACAACCATTTCTAATTAAATTTAGTAAGAGGCTTTATCTTATCTTTTGAATTTTGTACTAGATTTAAAATTGAATGATCATATGCTAGCTTTTATAGTGATCCTAAAAATCCCTTATTTAAGGTAATTTGGTTAAAATAATTTTGGTTTAGATATTTTGTTTGTTCCAAATCAGTTATTCGACTTCATGTGAGCATAGATACTTTCTTCTCTACTAATACATCTATGAAATATATATTAAGTGATTTCTTCACAAGCAGATTTCAAGCTGAAATCTCAACCTCATCATATAAATCCTCAAATACTCTTAAATAGTACTTAGAGAACTTTCAAAGCTCCTTGATGGCTTCTTTGTGAAGAAAGTAGTACTTCACTTCAAACACTGTTCTTGAGCTCATTTACATATTTTATAAAAGAATAGCAGAGGGAGAGAAGACTGCTGCTTGTATCTCAGTGGAGATCCCCAATGTGCCTTTGGTTTTCCGACAGCCTCAAGTGAGGTTGAAACCTATTCCGTGTGTCAGACCAATACAAAATGAACAACATCCGCACTCCAGCTGAGGGTTAAAAGCTCACTGGAAAGCACAGGTTTATCAAAAGTGATAGGCATATGATCTGCAATGCTAGACTGTAACATTTAATAAGACTTTGTTAGTAAGATATGATTCTATAACATGACATTTTCAGTAGTTCCTACAGTATAAACTACCACAGGCTCTTTAGAAACTGAACATTTGTTTAGACAGAAGAGAGTTTTTCTTGAACACCTAAAGTCCTAGGGTTATGAAAATAAGTTTAGTGGAGGGTATAAATCTATATCTCTGATTCAAAACCCAGTAAGCAATTGTCTGGATATACACGTTCAGAATGGCCTTTAATGAACTTCTCCCTTGCTTGACATTTCTAGGCAGAAATTACAATAAAATTTGATTTAAATAATAAATTTTAAAATCCTTATAATTTGTTTCTTTTCATCCACATCGAGTTTGCCCATCATTTTTCCAAAAATCTATTTCCAAATTTTGTCCATCTAAAAAAAACAATCTTGTAAATGAAGGAGATAAAAATTTCCAATAAAGATCACTTGAACATTAAAGCTGTCAGAACAACATAAGGGTAGCTGGAGAGCTTGATTAATTAATGCTTGCAACTGGGATCAAATTCTATAGGTCAGCTTTTCCAAATATTTCAGGCTTGATGAGAAATTAAGACTACTAATAAATGAAGAGTGAGTGACATTAAATTAATGATGACTTTAAAGCTTCTGGGGTATTGAACTCATCAGTTGAGTTTATCCTTAATAAGAAAAACAGCAAAGAGGAATCCATGCAATTAGAAGCAGACTATTTGCAAGAAAGCCAGCTATTGACAAAAACAGTCATGGGATGCTTTCTCTGTAGTTAGGCACCTTGCTTGATTAATTAAAAAAAAAAAAAAAACACTACTTGAAAAAAGATAGTATGTCAAGGTTATAAAAACATATTTTGAATTATTTTAGTAATGTTCATGATAGTTATTAAGTATTAGAAAAGCACCTACAACCATCTGCAAACAAAGTAAACATGAAGCAAAAGAAAGGACTTAGTATTACCTTGATTTAAGAGAACACTGTATTTAGTAAACATTGTTAAGAATGGGAATTACAGTTGAATCTAAAACCTGCGACATTGCCTAGGTGTTGCTGGGACATTACAGGTGACTTCGTACCAAATCAGTCACAACTGTTAATTACACTCCTCATTTCCCCACATCCCAATACACATTTTGCTCCAGAAAATCTAATCATTCCATTTCCTCTTATTTGTCTTCATTTTTATTTTATCTAAGTTAAATCCATGTTTGGCCCTTAGTTTAAATGGTATTTCTCTTATAACACTTACCTCACTTTCCCTTTGGTTAAGAATATCCGTATGAATTTCTGTACCACTCCGTATATTCCATCACAATCTTTTCCATCTTTTCCAGAAAGGTCTTTTCTACTACTTAAAAAGAATTGTCCCTGCTTGTGTACTTTCTTAGGCCCACAATCCCACAGAGTTCTCAGTAAATATTTACTGAGTATATGAATGGATTCAAAAGTCTTGTAAGCTTCTTTGCTTAGAATATTTAGAAGTTGTAGTTAAGAAGTAAGTCTAGACTAGCTTGTAGGAGGTTTACATATATGTACTCGTATTTCATAATAGCTATGAACACAACATCCTTGAATCACCTCTCCAAGTATCAACAGAAATGTTGTTAAAACATCCAAGTCCTTGGATTCTTCCCAATGACTTAAAAAGTAGAATTTCTGGAAATAGAATTATGTGATTCTTAAGTACAATAAAAACAAGAAACCCCAGCGAAGCAAAATCACGGTAATGGTGGGCTTCGGTTCATTCTGGTTTGTAGGACTGTATCTATCCATAGAACAGACTGACATGTTCACTAATGTGTATCAACACCAAATGGAGTGCCAGGGATGTTTTTCTTATTTGTACGTCATTTTCAAAAGTACTAAAATAAAATACCCTACTAATGTGCTAGTCAGGAAGGATAAGCTTCAGATTAAGTGTTGTGAAACATTGTGATGAGATGTTACAGATGTGAAATAAGATCAAGAGCAAGTCTAAGGCCAAGCCTCACAGCTATGACAATGTTTTCATTATTGGTGAAGAAGGACTCTTTAATGTCCCTTTATTTTCACTTTTAAAACACCGCAGTCTCAAAATCTATTCTTTCTACCTGTCTGAAACATTGTACAATTTGATCAGTGTCTCCTTCTCTCTCTGTCCCCATCCCCCTCAGACTTGTCTAACCATGATTCTCCTCTCTATTTGAGTTCAAAGAGTTTTAGATGCTATATAAGTGAGTTCCTGGGGTAGTTTTCTCTTTGTGCTTGACTTATTTCACTTAGCACAATGACCCCCAAATTCATTCATGTTTTGCATCTGACAGGAAGTCTTCCTCTTCCCAGGACTGGATGGTATTCCACAATGCATGAATGTCACCTTTTCTATCCATTTATCTGCTGCTGTATATTGTACTCCTGCACAACACAGTGACTGTCATAAAAGCCAATATTACACTATTTATGTATTACTAAGTACCTGGGAACATCCACTGCAATGCCTCACCTTAAATTACCATAGAAAAATGAGATAATGGGCATATTAATTAGTTTGATTCAATCATGGCACATTATATACATATACCAGAACATCATAACATATACCACCAATGTCCTGAATTATGATTTGTCAATTAAAATGACAGAAAACACAGTCTTCTCTGTTTCACTCCCAGTTTGTCTTTGATTAATGCCTAATTAAACTGTGTTATCTAAAAGTCATTGCTGGAGATTATTTGTCTTCTCAGTTGTGGGCCCACACAAATTATTTTAGAGAGAAATTGGACAGTAAATAAACTTACAGTCAGGGTACATGTAAATGTTAGTTTTTCTGAACAACATGATTTATTTCTAGATCTTTGTGAAAATATTAATAGTGTTTATTTTTGTTCTCAACAGTGCCCCAGTTCAAGGAGTAATTTATATGACTTCCAGTTTTCAACAGCTTTAATGTAAGTCTGTAAAAGCTTTTCCATTTTTTTATTTCATTGGCAAATGTCTTGGCTTGTATTAAACTTTTGAAAAACAATTGTTACTAAATTAATAGCAAAAATTATTTTTGAAGAAATATAATCTCAGAGGACAACTACATCAGCCATAAAAAACAAACTATAGAAAAAGTGTAATATGATATTGCTAGCTGGCATCAAACCCACTCAAAATCCTTTGCTGTATCCTCTGTCAACTCCATTTCCTTTGCTTCCCAGATGTGCAAAATGTAATAGGGGCAGTGTATGGACGATTAGATTACATAGCAGATTTCTAACTTGTGTCACTGGGGAAATGAAATTACTTTTCACCTCAGGTTTTAATACTGCAGAAAATTTAATAGCAAGAAAACAGAAAAAAACAAAAAAATAATTCCAAACAATGAGAGAAAGTTTCCGGGTAACACTACATCCAGCTGCCTTTTTCTTGCTAAAGGGAGGAAGAAATATAAATTCTCCTGCATGGTAACTTCAGAGGTCATTTACAGAGGCCATTTGTTGATATTTTGGAGATTGTACTTTCAGCTTCTCCTGACACCCAAGAATAGTCATTCCTCAAGAATTTGCACAGGGGGCTGGGGATTTAGCTCAGCGGCACAGTGCCTTCCTGGCAAGCACAAGGTCGTGAGTTCGATTCCCGGTACCAGAAAAGAAAAAAAAACAAAGAATTTGCACAGGTATGTAAATTGAGAGGCACCTGCAATCATTCTTCCTGACTGTTAGAACCTGGACTCATTAAGGTACAGTTTGAGATGTAAGAGCTTCATTTAAAATGCATTTATTTTGGTTAATGCACCTAAATATGAATAATTATACTAAATGTAACTATATGTAAATATTGAAAGTTAAGCATGTATCACTTCTTCACCAATTGGTATTATCTGTTTTATCTACTTTGAAAGTGTACCACTTCAAATTTTATTGTTTCCATATTTTGCCAGGAAGGGTTGATTATAAAACATAAAACCCAATTCTAGGTATACATTTGGATCAATTCTTTTTTATTTCCTTCATGTTTGTTGTTCTTCATGTATTATTCATATATTTGAACACATTATACTGCATATATTATTCATATACAGTAGTTGGACTTCATATATTATTGGCTCATTTAGGTTTTATTAGCATACCTATTAAATAGGGTTTCGATGCTGCAAAGGAAAACATTATTAACCTTTAACAACTATACACTTCTCCACCTCTCTATCAACTTCCTGATTACTTTTTCTAAAACGTACAAAATCTGCCCATAAAGAAGACCTACAGGCTACCTTTCCATGTTGTATTGGGAAGCTGAGCACTAAATTTCATCTTCAAAACAAATACCTCAAACAATGTTCCAAACAAGGATGAGCAGGACTAGGAACCACATGGCCACTATGTCCCTAATCATACTCTATTCACGGCTAGTGTCCTTGCACATGCGTGAGCCAAGAAGGGGTGGGAGGAAGTGTGACAAATCTAGAGCAGATATCTGGTCAAAAAGATCAGCCAGGCCAAAATGCAAGGACAATGAATTGAATACTGTTGAAGGGAAATTAGAGATGAACGTTGTTCTGCAAAGTATGATTTCTGATATGGATAATAGGTACAGTTTAAAAGTATTTGCAAGCCAAAATCCAAACATAATACAGTAACAAAAAGCAAAAACTCTTTTGTTCGTATTCAGCTATTCACTGTCAGCTTAGTGCCCGCTGTAGGACATGTACATGTATAGGAAAATGACTTCAGTTGGTATAATTTCTCTTTCTGCATTCTGTCATCAACAGCTGTAAAGGTAAAATTCCAGTGTTCACTACCCAAGTGTATTGTGAGTTCCTACTCAAACAACTGTTTCTGAGATGGGGCAAGGTATTCATTTTTGTTTGTTTGTTTTGATCCCAGGAATCAAACTCAACCCCTTGCACTTGCCAGCAGGCACATCTGCCACTGAGCTACCTCCCCAGCCTGGTATATGGTGTTAAAAAATTACAGGTATGTTTTCCACCCTGTGATACTCCAATCTACATAGAAAATCAGGAATGTAATCAAATAAACACAAGTCTGTGTGCTTGTTTAGTGTATGGCACTTACTAGAGTTCTAGGGGAACAGAAAGGAAGAAGTGAGTGTCTGCTGATTACGGGAAGATGCTTTGGGCTTTGACTGGACTGACAGGAGTTCTCTTAGGCATGGATAAGTAGAAGGGAATGGAATTATTGGCTAAGAGAACTGATGCTCAGTGATGCTATGGCTTAAAGTGCTTGGAACCTTCAAACTAAGCCACTGAGTTTTCAATGAGATTGTGAAGTAGAACGAAATGGTTCCATATTACATGGCTGATTAATATTATCACCAAGCCTACCTCTGATGATTTTCATTACTCATGTACCTTAAAGCATGCAGACATAAATGCTAAATTTTCTTTCCATTTAACATGTGTAATTATCATAAACTCTTAAAAAAGTCATAATGATAAAGCTTAGGGAAAATTAATCAGATGGCCACAAAGAGCCTTTATTTTTCCTCTAGTTCAAAGTCCACACAGTACAGAAATTTCTACTACACAGTATTTTCTAGGCAGCTGAGACATCTCCTTACATGAATTTAATGAAGTATGTGTGTCTAGAATTGAGATTTATTCTTAGACAACCCTAATCTCTGAAGAGTTTCCCCTGAATTTAGTTCAAATCTGCCTCCAAGTGATCCCTGTTTATTGGTTTTAAAGTCTTTCTTCTAGAATCATATAATTTAATATTTTACATAAAAATTCTTAAATGTTTTGAAAACGTATGTTATTTTTCTTCTCTTATTCATATGCCAGACTAAATAATGTGTATTTATTGAGGTTTCCAAAATGCTGATGATCAACTCTTTTTCCTCAGTCCTACTACTTCACATAGAACCTTCATCTCTGACGGCCATCTTCTTTATGCTTGTGGCATGGTCACCAGTGAGGAAGGAAAAGGGAGACAAACATGTCAATACAAAATTTTCTCTAAGACTAGAAAATTAATACAAGCCGTGCACCTTCTATAATATAGATGAGAAATATTTAAAATATTTAAGTACAAAGTGCAATCAACATACACTGTAAATGTTGAAATTTTAAAAATCTTGGCATCATTCTTGACATTTTCTGAAGTCCTCTTACATAAACATAAGATCTGATTGCTAATACAGTGAATGCTGCTGCTGTGTGTCAGTTATTTTCACTGGTCTGTGCTGTGTATTGCAGAGAGCTATAGCCATGAAAAAAGTCTTCCTTGATATCTCAGTATTAACGGGGCTACTTTGTTTACACAATTCAATATTTTTCTTTAGTGTGCTGTGACCTATGCTTTACTGTCAGCTCCTTTTTTACTTTTCTGTATTCACTTGTGTTTTTTCTTACTTTCTGCGTTCCAAGCTATTATCCTTCTTGCATACAAAATGATCTCCTCAACATCATATCACTTGTGAACTTGTAAGTGATCCACAACCAAACCATGTACCTGTGTCCGAGGGAGTACTTTAACATGGAACCTGATAGATTACATTTAAATAAAATGAGTCTTGTTAAATCTCTCATGTACAAGCATCACATGACACTAGCAGAATTAAAACTTGAAAATCAGAGAGTTGTTTTTAAAAAAACATAATTATTGAATGGAAATATGATTCTCTAATAACAGAGCTTCTGCTTATTGTGGAGAACAGCCACCATGAAAGTAAAAATTCATAATAATATGAATTCATATTATTCTTCATATTATTCTTCTTCCTTTATGTTTTTCAATTTGAAAGAGATGCAGAAAGTAAAGGTCAAATAATCAGTAAAATTTATAACATTATTCGGTTGATAAATACAGATTTAAAGTGGAAGATAGCACCAATAAAAGAAAGAATGTTGAAAATAATTTTATTATTTTGGGATTCTAATCTATAATAAAATTCTTCCCCATCCAAGTTCAGAACCTGCCGAAAAATAAACAAAGGATCAAGTAGATTGTGGAGGACTGTCAAAAACAAGCATCAGCCTTCGCATTCACCCTCATTAAAAAATTCCTCCCACAATGACTTCAGGACCTTGCTCTGCACTTGCTTTACCTGAGTGATGTTAGCTAATCCAAGTGGATCAGAAGCATTGTCAAAGGGAACCTAGCTGACTCAAAGAACAGGAGAGATTTTGACTAATAAGTAACAGGAACACTGACGTAGGTCAGATGATAGAGTGCTGGAGAATGTAGATTAGGTGCAGAGACAGACAGACTTCCTCAAAGCAAGTTCTAGAGTTAGATAGTATTATCTACTTATTTATGGATCTTGGCAATAGGAAGCTGCTCCTCACAGGTGCTGAATCCGCCTAGTGTAAAATTTACAATAGGAATGACAGGAACTGAATACGTTCTGGGCAGATAGGAGCACTCAAAAGAAGAAAAGAGGTACTTGCCTGTGAAAACTCTTATCTCTCATGAGATTATAAATTCTTCCCCAGGAGAGTCTGGACCCAAGAGGAATGGAGGAGACATGGAAAGAATGTCACCGTCAGTCTTGTTCCTCCTCAAGGGGACAGAGCAGAGGTAAAGATATTCCCAGCCTCCACGCCCACACTACCACCAAAGAGGCCACATTTCACCTGCAGTCAGATTGCCTAACCGTTGAGGAACTCATCTTACAACTTGAATTTTGATGAAATTTAATGTTTAAGATCTGTTTTATGTAATTAATTTCTTGTTCAGAAGTCTACTCAGTCTCTGACACAGAGTGGCTATATTGTATTGAATTGAATGGATGAATGCGTGTAACCTAACTATCACTATCAAATCCACACAGAATTATTTTAAGTATGAAAAAAATCTTTACTGTCAATTCTAACATATGTTAGCTGGGACAAATCAATTAAAAAGCAAGACAACACATTTTAAGTTTTTTTTTGTTTAAGTCCTAGATAAATTTACTTTCAAAATCACCTCCAACCTCTGTGCTCCACAAAGGGATGTATGGAATTTAATTACTATTAATTACTGTTATTATTTCCTGATGTTGCTTATCAGAATATTTCATTTTTATGCCAATTAGAGTATAATTATTAGGATAATGGACTTTACAAAAACCAATTATGCAAGGAGACTGGATGGGATTTATCTCTAGTAATTGAGTCTTAACAATTTAAGATCAAAATAAGTGAATCAAAATGAAAATGTAGAATCATTAACCCCCCCAGGCATCAACAATAAGGTTGATTTGCTCTTCTTTTCCAAATTAAGCTAATATTTTACAATGTCACATCAGTTGATATATACAGGCCCCTTTCACAGTGAGTAAAATTGTGTTTATCAACATATAACACAGCCCCAGGCCATGCAAATTCTGTAAAACTTTTCTTATCAGAGCTTACATTTGATCCAAACACCCACACAAGGACTCGAGAAATTCTCAGTTATAATATTTACTCGGAACTTACGGAATCCATCTGAGAGACAGAGGAAAAGAGATACACTTGTAGTATGACTCTCCCTTGCTAATAAGGCAGAGGTCGATCAATGAATACTAAGTTGTAGTTAGATAAGAGCAAGGAGTTTTGGTGACCTGCCATACGGTATAGTGACTGTAGACAGTGATTGTGTGTTGTACATTTCAAAGAGCTAGAAGAAAGGATTTGGACTGCTTTTAACATAAATGATAAATATTTGGAGACAGGTCTTTTTAACTAATTTGAATATTATACAACATATATATGCATTGTAACATCATTTAGTACCCCATAAACGTATGCATTTTGTGATTTTCTCTATCAACTAAACTGAATTGAAATTTATAACAAAAATAAAGTTAAATTATATCAAAATTATCATTGTCCATGCAGAGATTCTAGATTTAATCATGCAGCTCAGGAGCTAGTAAAGGATCTAACAGTGTTTTGACTGAGTAGCTACAGCATAAACCAAAAATATCCTACTGCACATGAAGCTGAAACATCAAACCTCCATATGATACAGTATAAGATATTCAAAGACTTAAGGATATTGGAATGTGAGAATAGGGTTAATATATAAGACCTACTTATCTGCCTTGGTAAAATCCCAGGGTTGGTCAGGAAAACATGCTTTTCTTCATGACTTTGAGGAATATATTTTTAAGAAGAGATTTGAAAATTTTGGTTAGTGTTCCATGTAGGGAAGCAATTAGTGTGAACTTCTGCCATTGAACTGAGATCTTTAAATGCATCAAGGATAATGGGTCCTGGTGTTGCAGGAACCAACCAGGGCCACATGAATGCCAAAGGCGAGGTGAACAGGGCTGTGGACAATGGGATCGAAGTACTGGTTAGAACAATTGACTCATAGTAACCTGCAGCTTTGGTGAGTGGGTCCTGGAGTCCCTGGAAGTGAAATAGATGGGCAGACTGTTAAATTCATAATCGATCGGTTTACACACAGAAATTCTAGGTCAAATAATAAAGATCTAATTTAAAACATCAAAAGTATCCTAAGTTCTCAAACCATTTTCAGACCAGCCTGCTTATAGACCCATAATCCTTTAGACAAAGGCGAGACCAAGACCTTTGTGGAAGGACATAAAACATGGTTAAAACTTGATCCTGTTACTTCCTCACCCAGCCTTCCCTAAGAGAACTCAGATCATTTAACCCAGCTGACCATACATTGTGGAAAAGGCAAGCAGCAGGTGTTCAGGAATTATTGGACAATGGTTGTGAAGTAACGCTAATTCCAGGAGACTCTAAGCATAAATGCCATCCAACCGTCAGAGCAGGGGCTGATTTATGGAGGTCAGCACACAGGTGAAATTTTACCGGAAGTCCATCTTGCAGTGAATCCAATAGTCCCCAGATCTATCCTGTGGTTATTTTTTCTGTTCTAGAATGCATAATTGGGATAAATGTATTCAGTAACTGCCAGAATTCCCACAGGAATTTCCAGACCTGTGGAGTAGGTCTATTATGCTAAGTTAAAGAGGAACTGCCTCTAGAAAACTACCTCAGAAAAAAAAGTTTTAACAAAGAAAAATAGTAGCATTACATTCCTATGAGAATCGTAGAGATAAAGCACCATCGTCAGTCTTTTTTTTTCTTTTTTTTTTGTTTTTTTTTTGTTTTGTTTTTTTCCCGGTACCAGGAATTGAACTCATGACACCATCATCAAAGTCCTGATGGATACAGGATGATGATTACCACATCTTTGTTCAACTTAACTCTTTTGCTTAAGTACCAAATAACATAATTTTGAAGAAGGACTATGGATCATCTTAAAAAGGAATCAGGTTGTAACTCCAATGATAACTTCTTTGTTGTTGTTGTTATTGTTGTTGTTCTGTCTTTTTGAGTCAAGGTTTCACAGTGTAGTTCAGGCTGAGAAACTCACTGTGTAGCCCAGGCTGGCCTCAAACTCAAAACAATCCTCCTGCCTCAACCTCCTGACTGCTACCATGCCCAGCCTGTAATTACAACTTCTATTCTAATGGTTGAGAAAACTTGAGTTTTCCCTGGTAATTGGTAGACAGTTATTTATATGTCTTCTTTTTTTTCCCTTTTGATATCTGATATTAAAAACCACCATAAGCCACTCCATTTCAGCTGTGCAGGCCAGCAATACAGGTTTACTGTGCTGCCTCAGGGAATTATAAATTCTGCAGCCCCTCACCGCCAACAATTTGGTCCCCTTGCTTGTCCACAAGACATCACACTATTCTCACTTTGACGATACTATGCTGGTTGGACTTAGTAAGGCAAGAAGGACACGCTACTTTAGACTCAATGGCAAGACATCTACCTGTCGGAGTTGGAAGATTCTGACAAAAATCTAGAGTTCTTCCACCTTCCAGCAAAGGGAAATGGGCCTAGCTCACAGATGATTCTGTGCTGCAGGTTAGTACCACCTAAAAGTAGAGATGTAGGACACTAGGGTCCCCTTTGGAGACACCTATGAAGGGAATGAGAGAACAGAAATCAACCCAACAGGCAAAACTTAGGGCAGTACACATGGATGTGCATTTGCATGAGATAAGCAAAAGTCTGATAATACACCACTTCCAGTTTGGTGGTGTAATTACGTCCTTAAAGACCAGACCAGGGGCTAGGGATTTAGCTCAGTGGCACAGTGCCTGCCTGGCATGCTCGAGGTCATAAGTTTGATTCCCGGTATTGGAAAAAAGAAAAAAAAGACCAGAGCAAGTTGACATAATGGAGTGCCAAACTGCTGTGACTCGCTTTCTTTTCTTAGATAATAGCCTTCAAAGAAATTAGTTTTTATCATTTATATTTATCTCATGAGCACCTAAAATTACAAAATATAATGTGCGAAATTCAGCCGTATGACCTCTTCTCACTTACAAAAGTTCCACACTAATTATAGAATGAAGAAGTGAGAAGTGGGGATGAATTACATAAAGTATGGGAACTTCACTTTGCTGGGACAGGAACATTTGGTGGTGGTGTTTTTGCCCTGTAAGTGTACTAAGTTTTAGCAAATTGTTTACCTAAAGTAACCTGATAAGCGAGCATGGTGTGGCATACCTATAAACCTTGTGCCCTGGGAGGCTGATGCAGGGGATCACAAGCTCAAACTCTTCAGGGCAACTTTGGTGCTTATCAAGACCCCATCTCAAAATACAAAATAATCACGAGCAAGAGCTGCAGCTCAGTGTGAAGGCTTTGGGTTCCGTTCCCAGCACCAAATGCTCATGATGTCAATAATTTATGTTATGCTAATGACATCTCAAAAAACTTCCATTTTAGAAATCATGCAAAGTGTGAAAATGTGCCTATCAGTTTCCTAGGGCTGCCATAACAAAATCTCATGAACTGAGTGGTTTCATAAGAGAAATTTATTTTTCTTTTCAGTTATGAAAGCTGAAAGTCCAAAGTCAGGGTGTCAGATGTCTGATTTCTCCTGAGATTTCCCTTCTCGGCTTGCACGATCCCCCACTCCCATTAATGACGTCTCCATGCGGCCTTTCTTCTGCACCAATGTCCCTGTGTCTCCTCTGATGGATCAGTTTCCTCTGTAAGGATGCCAGTCAGTTAGGATCCGAGTCCACCCAAAGACTGCCCTTTCTCTTAGGCATGCCTTTAAAATAGCACATTCTGAACTGCTGGAGGCTCTGAACACACCACATGAACACTGAAGGGACATTATTCAGCCCATAATAATGAGAATTTCCCTTGCATTTTCTCTGATTTGCATTTCTCTTGAGGATGGCCTGTCCAAGTGACCTTTGTATTTCCTGGCCCAAATAAAAAAAAAGGCATTTATTTTCCCCAAACACAGAGTTTATCATTGGACCTAGGCCTGTAGCATTCCAAGGCCTTTGCTCTTTTTAATTCCTGGTCTGTGCACCATGGAGAGAAAGTACAAGCATGAGAACAAAAGCACCAACTACAACAGTGATTGTGTGATCTGGTTGATAACCAAGGACTAGCAGTGGACAGCGCAAGTCAGAGAAAAAGCATGGAAACTAAAACCAGTAAACACACACCTCAAGAACACTTCTGTGACTGTAATTTTACACATCTGTAGTTAATGAATAGGTTCCAGGGACCTCGGCTGCTTCTTTGCTTGCCCTCACTCAGTGCATCCTTGGAGTCCTACGAGGTACACATCGCTGTGCTCCAACTCATTCATTGTTTGTGTTTGTTGTTTGTCTGTTCTTCTTGCAACAGTAGGAGGTCTCTATGTTGTTTTAAAGACAGCTTGGTAGATCTCACAAATCATGTGCTTTATTCACAGATGAGTAAAGCTTGTTTCTTGGTCAAAATGTTTTATGCTCTTTCCCCACCATGCAGCACCCAAGTCACATTTACAAACACATGGTAAAAAAGCCAGTTAATCACGGTACTGCCCAGTCCAATTCGCTCATTAGCATAGGGAGGGGGAATGTGATGCCATGTTAT